TAGATGGGATCTAGGCCAGCAGGACGGTGTGGTGGTGGTTATGGTGGAGCTCCGACAGGGCATCGCCAAGCGCTAGCGGAGGAGGAGATGTAGGAAAAGAGGGAGGGTGGCGGCCAAGGCTTCGAGTGGTGGCGCCCAACCCCTCCTTCTCTTTATATAGGGGGTGAGGGGTGCAGCCATGTTGGCCACCCTCCAAGCCAGGGCGACGCCCCCCTCCCCGTCGGTGCTAAAACCAACATATCTCGGGTAGGGGTCCCAAACTTGATGGTCAGAGCTAGATGGTAACAGGGAGAGTAGGAACACGATGTTTTACCATGGTTCAGGCCTCTCTTGATGAGGTAAAACCCTACGTCCTCCTTCTTATAGATTGATTGTAATGGGGTAAAGTACAAATTGATCTACCTCGAGATCGTATGAGTTTATCTAAGCTCTAAACCTTGCGAATGTGAATACATGTCCTATGGACTAAACCCCACGGCTTATATAGATGCTGGGGGTGCCTAGGGTTTACACATGGTTGGTTACAATGTAGGGATAAACATGCCAACTATTCAAAACACGCTTGAAGTGTACGCCAAGCCTCCAGGAGATCTTCGTATTGATTACATCGAAGGGCAGTGCCAATATGGCCATGTCAACAATCTTCAATGGGTCATAGGCCCGACCCATCACTGGCGGGCCAACGTGGCAAACGCCCCCTGATCCAAGACATCAACTGTAGCCCATGAACTAGTCTTCAAGCCCAGGATGTTGGGTATCTTCTTCCAGATGACTTTATGAGCTTGAGCCTTCGGCTTCGTAGGCGAGTTCCATCCTCCTTGTCGGCTTTCGATTCCGAGGTCATGCTCGGCTCTGATGTCTTCTTGGCTTCCCTAATCATCACCATGTGTCTTGGTGTCCATCAAATAGAGGGGGGATCTTTTGACGAGTCCTTTTAGGTATAGTAATTTCACAAAACATGGTATTCCTACCTACTTAGCCGTGAAAGAAGGCCCCACCAGATCCAAAACCGGACCCGATAGCTTAATGGCAACCCGTTACGGTCGATGCCACATGTCGGTCACCCTTGACGAAAGCACTTTTATGACGCGTGATTTATCATCATGGAAGTGGACACTTTCGTGATGATAATTTTGGTAATGTCATGGAACACTTCTATGACATCATAGGTATGACTATCTTCATCCTGTCATAAAATCGTCATGGATGTACATGCATGACAGAAAACATGACCTACTGTGACAAACACGTATCATCACGAAAGTGTATTTTTTTGTAGTGTGGGTTGAATACTCTACCCTCGAAAATTGTTGCGATCCCCTATACTTGTGGGTTATCAGGGGCTCTCCGACGAACCTTCTCATACCCTGGCATCGCCAGAGATGTTCTGACCGTGGCATTCCCTTCCTCGTGCATGGCAGTGGTCTTCGGTGAGCTTTAGCTCCGGCGAGAGGGCTCTAATTGAGCTGGCTCGAGGGGTGGGTGAGGTTAGTGGAGTGAGGCGAGGCCAGTGGTGGCGGCGGTTGGGCTTAAGGAGTCATGGGTGGAGTGAATTGAGCTAGGCTTGCCATCGGCAGAGCTTCGCCGTGGAGAGAGGCGGAAGGCGCAATAGCATGAGGGCGGCAGCCGATAATGGTAAGGGAGGAGAATAAGTGGTGCAAGTTGGATTGGACTCCGGGGGTCTCCTTTTATAGGCCGAAGGATGGCCGAGGGTCCTGGCTCCATAGTGATCGACGTTGATGGCCAGCTGGGCCTGCGCCAGACTACGACTAGCTTGGTCGGGGGTCAGGCGAGCGCTAGGAGGTCAGGAGGAAGCCGCTAAGGTCCTCTACACCGGCCTATGTGTCGCGATGTCGCGCGGGTCATGGTTGAACAGTGGGCGGAGCCACGGGCACGCTCGGCGAAGGGGCAGGCAGGACGACGTGGGCTGGTTGCTAGGTGATACGTCTCCAATGTATCTATAATTTTTGATTGTTACATGCTATTATAGTATCAATTTTGGATGTTTTATATGTAACTATATATCATTTTTAGGACTAATCTATTAACTTAGTGCCAAGTGCCAAGTGTTAGTTGTTATTTTTTGCCAGTTTTTTTGTTTCCAGGAAATCACTACCAAACAAAGTCTAAATGCAACGAAACTTTTTTACTCTTTTTTTACATAAGAGACCCTAGAAGCTTCGGGAGGAGGCCAGAAGGTGAAGGAGTAGGCCACAAGGCACATGGGCGCGCCCAGGGGGTAGACGCGTCCATGTGGCTTGTGGGCCCCTCGTTCCTCGTTTGACCTAATTCCAACTCTATAAATTCTCTAAAATCGGGAAACCAACAAAGAGCCACCCAAAATACCTTTTTGCCGCTGCAAGCTTCTGTTCTTGCAAGATCCCATCCGGAGGCCTTTTCCGGCACTCTGTCGGAGGGGAAATCAATAAAAGAGGGCCTCTACATCAACCTTGTTGCCCTTCCGATGATGTGTGAGTAGTTTACCACAGACCTATGGGTCCATAGCTAGTAGCTTGATGGCTTCTTCTCTCTCTTTGATTTTCAATACAATGTTCTTGGATATCTATTCGTTATAATCCTTTTTTGCGGCGTGT